TAGCATGAAGCAGTTTGCTGAAGGCTCCACGCTCAAACTGGCCAAGCAGTGTCGAAAGTGAGTCATTTAGCACTGTTGTGGCTCCCGACCTGTCAGCCAGACCTCAAAAGAGGAGGGTGGGGCCTCCTCACTGCCCTGTCCTACCCCAGGCAGACCCTCCTGCGCTGCTGCGTGAACTGCTTCTGTCTGTGGCGGGGATGCCCCAGCCCCTGGCTTTTCCCCCTTGGTCCTGGTGTACCCCTCCTGTCCCTCCACCTTTCTGATGGTCATCTGTGCCCTGCATGCCCCCAGGTGGCTGTGCAATGACCAGATCGATGCGGGCACTCGGCGCTGGGCGGTGGAGGGTCTGGCCTACCTTACCTTCGATGCCGATGTGAAGGAGGAGTTTGTGGAGGATGAGGCTGCGCTGAAGGCTCTGTTCCAGCTCAGCAAGGTAGCTCCATGGGTTCCTGCAGCCGTCCGGGGACACTGTCTAGGATTAGAGCTTACGGGGCTTTCTTGGCAGGTCTTGGCCAATGGCTTTTGTGACCCCACAGAGAGGGGGGCTGGTAGCCCGAGTGGCTGCTCTGTGTGGCCTGGGTGTACTGGCCTGCGCCAGCAGGGTCGGAAAGGACGATCTCTTAGGAGGAGTTGGGGTGGTCAAGTGTGTGAGCTCCCAAAGTCTGGGGCCACCCTCGGGCCTTGGCAGTGCCCAGATTCATCCTGGTGCCCATGTGGTCCAGCTGAGGGTAGAACTGGGAGCCTGGGCAGCGCCTATCCCGGTGTTGCTCTTCCCCCCGGGATGGCCGCTGATGGCCCCTCTGCCCCCGGCAGTCCGAGGAGAGGTCGGTGCTCTTTGCAGTGGCCTCGGCGCTGGTGAACTGCACCAATAGCTACGACTACGAGGAGCCGGACCCCAAGATGGTGGAGCTGGCCAAGTACGCCAAGCAGCACGTGCCCGAGCAGCACCCCAAGGTGAGGGGGCTGCTAGGAGGGGTTTGGGGGCCTCCGTGTCACTGGGGCCAGTTGACCTGAGACATCCACAGCAGATGAGCCTTCTGTTTAAGCGGGTTCCTTCCCTTTGTTTTCATGCTCATCATTTTGTGCCGTGAGGAGGGTTCCCCTTTCCCTGCCTGATCAGCCGAGGCCCCTGTGCTCAGCTGCCTCCTCCCCCAGGACAAACCGAGTTTCGTGCGGGCTCGGGTTAAGAAGCTGCTGGCGGCTGGTGTGGTGTCGGCCATGACGTGCATGGTGAAGACCGAGAGCCCTGTGCTGACCAGTTCCTGCAGGGAGCTGCTCTCCAGGTGAGCCTGCCCCAGCTACACCAGACCTGCTGCAGCCCGTCAGCCTCCAGGCTGCTGATGGAACTACAGCGGGAGCAGGTCCTGGTGCCGTGGGCCCCTCAGAGCAGGGGGCCACCGGTATGGCGCCCTTCTTTTGCTGAGCCCAGGAGTGGAGGGTCTGCCTGCCAGAGCCCGGGCTGGCCCGTCCAGCACAGCCTTCTCCCCACAGGGTCTTCCTGGCTTTGGTGGAGGAGTTCGAGGACCGCGGCACCGTGGTTGCTCAGGGAGGGGGCAAGGTAAGCGGGCTTACAGACTCCTTCCCGATGGCATATAAAACATCACTGAGTGGCTGCTACACCAGAGATCAGTGTTGGGTGTGGGACGGAGAAGTATTATTAGCGACCAGCAGGAATGTCTTCCTGCTGAGTGAGAGATGCTGGGGGCCGGGGGGTGGTGGTGGGGCTCTTTAGAGCCCCGGACTTTGTGCCTATTAGGGTCCTGAGCTCTCCTCCTTTCTCTTGTGTCATTGACCTCCATGGCTCTGGTGCCGGGCGCAATCCACATCTGTCCCTTAATAGTTGTTTCGGGAAGTGTTTGGGTAGCTTACTGGGAGGCCTCAGAGAGATGAGAGGGTGGGAGTGGGAGTATCATTGTCAAGCCTGGGGAGAGAATGGCGGGGAAAGGTGAGGGCAGCACAGTCAGGGCCTCAGAGCCTCGTGGTTTGGGCCTTATGTTCCCGGGCACATCTTGGACACTGATGGGCTTGTCCCTACAGGCTCTGCTCCCGCTGGCCCTGGAAGGCACTGACGTGGGGCAGACGAAGGCAGCCCAGGCTCTTGCCAAGCTCACCATCACCTCCAACCCAGAGATGACCTTTCCCGGTGAGCGGGTGCGTGTCTTTCTGCCCCAGCGCTGGCCTGTCCTCCACCCCCTCACAGGGCCCTGATGGCCTTTGACCCGAGCTGCGGCTCCTTCTTGGGGAAGTGTCAGCTTTGCTGAGCCCTGGGGGTGGGAAGGGCAGGCTTCTTTTTGGGGCTGGACTCCCTCCCATCTGCAGGGCCGGTGGGGTTGGGGGAGCTGGGGCGCATAGCCCTGACAGGTGGGTGCGTATCGCAGATCTACGAGGTGGTCCGGCCCCTCGTCTCTCTCCTGCACCTCAACTGCTCCGGCCTGCAGAACTTTGAGGCACTCATGGCTCTAACAAACCTGGCAGGGATCAGCGAGAGGCTCCGGTAAGGTCCCTTGGGATGTGGGGCCTGGGCAGGGCATCATGGTTTGGACCATCCCCAGGAAAGCGCTTTACAGCGTGGAAAGCACTCCCCAGTCACTCACTTATTTGCTCCTCATGGTGACTCCTCTGTATCTTACAGCGGAGGAGACAGGCTGAGAGGCGTGACTTGTGCAGTGTCCCGTGAGATAGCAAGGGACTGGGCGATGACAGCGTAGGCCCTGGAGTCAGGCTGCCTGGGTTCAAATCCTGGGTTCACTGTTTATTAGTGTATAACCTCACAAGTAACTTAATCCCTCTGTGCCTCAGTTTCCCCCTCTGTGAAATAGGATGGCTACAGTACCTAGCTCGTGGAGGAGCAGCGAGGAGGACTAAATGAGAAAATACGTGTAAAAGCATTTACTACATAGGTGCCTGGCTGCTGGCAATGTGCCCAAGCAGTACAGATTAGCTATTACTGCTGATTGTGACCTTGGGCCACTCAGTCTCCTCTTCTGCAAAACAGTAATAATGATAATCACACCTGCACCTTCACTGTAGGGCTGTAGCGAGGATTAAGTAAGGTAGTCCGAGTGCTGGGTCAGGGTGAGGGCTCGAAAGTTAGGTGTTAGCATTGCCATCATCACCACCTGGGTCTCCTAACTCCGACTTTAGAGCATTTCTCAAGGTCCTGTGCTATTTCCTAGGCCCAGTTAGAAGGCTGGAAACCACTGCCTGGTGGTTTCATCCCTGGTGCAGGAGGGTCTTTGGATATTGCCCAAGGAAATCTTTGGCCCCGGGTTTGATTGTGTGGGGAAACGGGTGGGGGTGATGGATGCCAGCGCTCTGGTGATGCCGACCCTCCACCCTTGGCCCCACAGGCAGAAGATCCTGAAGGAAAGGGCTGTGCCCATGATTGAGGGCTACATGTTTGAGGAGCATGAGATGATCCGCCGGGCAGCCACCGAGTGCATGTGTAACTTGGCCATGAGCACGGAGGTGAGGGTTGGCCCAGGAGGCGGTCATGGCAGGCAGGCACGCAGAAGTACCTGTCCCTGGCTGGCCTTTGCCCCAGCTAACCTGGTGCACTCCCCGCTTCCGGCCACAGGTGCAGGATCTCTTTGAAGCCACGGGCAGTGACCGGCTGAAGCTGCTGGTGCTGTACAGTGGAGAGGACGACGAGCTGCTACGGCGGGCAGCTGCTGGGGGCCTGGCCATGCTCACCTCCACGCGGCCCTCGCTCTGCAGCCGCATCCCCCAAGTGGTCAGTGCCCCTTCTGGGTGGGGCAGGGGAGGTGGGCCAGGAGCCCCCAGCCAGGGTGTGTGAGTGAGTGCCCTGCCAGGGTTCCCTGATGCTCGGTGGTCACGCTGCCCTGTTTCCTGCAGACCACACACTGGCTGGAGATCCTGCAGGCCCTGCTTCTGAGCCCCAACCAGGAGCTACAGCACCGGGGCGCTGTGGTGGTGTTGAACATGGTGGAGGCCTCGAGTGAGATTGCCAGCACCCTGATGGAGAGCGAGATGCTGGAGATCCTGTCAGTGCTGGCTAAGGGCAAGGAGAGCCCAGTCATGAGAGCTGCTGCCGCTTGTCTGGGGAAAGCAGTGGAATATGGGCTTATCAGACCCAGCCAGGATGGAAAGTGAGGACCTGCCTCTCACACACGCTACCTATCGCAGCACAGGGAGCGAGGACAGACATGGCCTTGGCTGGTGGGTGCTGGGGTGTCTCCTGCCCAGCTGCCCTTTGATGTCCTCTGTTCTGAGTCAGGGGCCACGTTCACAGCTCTGCTCTGCCAGCACTGCCTCCAGCCTCACGCAGCAGGCAACTTTTCCTGTACTACTTAGACAGCTGGGAACAGGGAAGGTGCGTCCTAACTCAGCCTGTGGATTCCCTGCACTGGGAAGGACCCAGCTGTGAGCCTCACCAGCTGTGAGCCTCACCTGAGCCTGCTGGCAGGACCACCCCTCATCCTCTAATAAAAAGTGTGTGGAACTTAAGTATGTGCCCAGTCAGTGGGCAGGGAGGGCTGGCTGTGGGCCAGAGCGTGGAGCAGGAGCTGGGCATGGCTGAGCGTGTGTGGGCAGCTTTTCAGCAGCACAGCCACCTCTGTGGAAGGAATCCAATGAATTCCCACCCCAGGGCCCGCTGAATTGCCTTTTAATCCTTGTAGAGGGCCAAAGGGTAAATGTAAGCAAATCAATAAAGTATCCAGTCGCATGGAAACACAAGCATTAGGCTTTTCAATACTTCTGCCTTTATTTATTTACGGCTGCTTTGGGGTCTTCCTTGCTGTGTAGGCTTTCTCTAGTTGCAGTGAACGAGGGCTAACGGGGGCTACTCTTCGTTGCGGTGCGCGTCATTGCGGTGGCTTTTCTTGTGGCGGAGCACAGGCTCCAGGCACGCGGGCTCAGTAGTTGTGACTCGGGGGCTGTAGAGCGCAGGCTCAGTAGTTGTGGCGCACGGGCTTAGTTGCTCCGCCGCATGTGGGATCTTCCTGGACCAGGGCTTGAACCCGTGTCCCCTGTATTGGCAGGTGGATTCTTTAACCACTGTGCCACCATGGAAGCCGACTTCTGCCTTTGTATTGAGAGTTTTCAGTGACCTCCAGTCAGGCAGAGCTCGGGATATGGGGGTGGGAAAGCCCTGAGGGAAGCTCCAGTAGCTGAGCGGGGTTGGACGTAAGCTTGGACCGCTGCGGGCATCCCCACCTGCTTGGGCGGGTGGTCCCTTGAGAGCCTGCTTCCGCTCTCTGCAGAGCGGACTAAGCCCAGCTTGACTCTCATTGGCTTAACGGAGGTAAGTGACAGATCCCGAGCCAATGGAAGGTAAAAACTGCCCAGCACCCGCCTAATTCGGGTGCTGCTTCTAGGGCCTCAGGCCCGCGCGTGTCCAGTAGCTAGCTGCCGCCATCCCAGACAGAGAGGACTGACAGGCGGCGCCCGTCACTGGGGTCGCTTGTCGCCAACCCTTCTTTCTGATCGTCCCCCAAGTGTTTCTAATACTGACTCCGCGGCCCCGCGCGTGCCTGCGGAGGACGGGACCATCTGGCCCAACGAGCCCACGCCCACCGAAGGTTTCGCCCACTCCCCGCCGGAGGCCGCAGCGGCCTAGCGTAGGCCTTGGGACCGGTTTGATCGAGCTAGGACTGGACAGGCCGCGGCGGGGATCGCCGGAACCGAGGTGAGCTTGTCCCAAGGCTGTCCTCCCCGCGCGGTGACATCACTCCTCTCTCTGGTGATTGGCCCCGGGGAGGCGGCGGCAGCCAATGGACGCCTCGCTCAGGGCGCGGCTCTTCAAACCTTTCCTTCTTGCGGCTGCCAGCCAGGTCCTGGGCTGGGTGGTGACTCGTTCCTGGGTGACCGCCCTGCGCCCCGGCCTTTCCTCCTCCCTCAAGACTGCCCATCGGAAGGAGCTGCCTGAGGGGTGGAGGGCACAGGGTCAAGATTAAGGTCAGAGGCCTCCTAGGGCTGGGATTTGACCCGGAAGGGGTAGGAGCCCAGGCCCGGGTCAAGGAGAGACCCAGGACCTGACTTCACAGGCTTGAAAATGCCAATGAGATTCTGATCAAGCCGAACATGCTGTACGGAAAAAGTGGCCTTACCGTGCCACTCGACTGTGCGTTTGTCTCCCCATTTATGCGTGAGCTCCTTGGAAGTAGACATCGGTCCTTCTCAATGACTTAGCCTAAGGGATCAATAAATGCATGTGGAACGAATAAATGACTAGATAAGGTCCAGTTGAAATTGTGTTTATATAGGTCCCTGAAAATCCAGTGGTCATTTTTATCAATTCTAAGTACTGGACTTAATAAGCTGATACCGTGTGCTTGCCATGGTAGGTGCCAACACTTGAACCCTTTATTTGCATCTGTTCCAAATAATTCTACAAGGTAGGTACAAACATCACCTCTCCTACTCCCCAGCTTTGTGAAACTGAAGAAATTGAATTGGATTGAGAGAGCTTAAGTAAATTGGCTGAGGACACAGGCACTGGTAGCTGCAGAGGCAAACATGTGAACCCTGGAACTGGTCCTAACCCGTACAGGGCATTGTCTCTCAAATGCTCTGCCTTCCACTGGTGGGAAGAGCACTGTATGTGAAAATGATGAGCCTTGGGTTCAGCCTTCTGCCCCTCTCGGTCCTAAGCTATGTGATTGTGTAAGGGTTACTTTCTCTGGGAGTCTCCGCTGTCAAATGGGGGCAATTCTAGTTCCCAAGATTACATGGGATAATGTGCCTGGCATTGGGAATTTGGAGGGGGAGGGACTCAGATCCTAGTCCAACGCCTAAGAGAGAAGCCATTTAAATACCTCGTGCCCAATCTGTGGGACAGCGAACTTGCTTGAATCAAAAGGGAAGGCAGGAAAAGTGCCCCACTCTAGACAGCTCAGAATCTTCCTAAATCTGGCAGGACTTTAGCCAAGCCTCCCGCTCAGCGAATGTTGGTGGAACGCACATCGTCTGCCTCTGTGGTTAGGAGGATGGCATTTCCCCCATTTTACAGGTGAGGCAGCTTCAGTGTACCGCAAGGGCTCACCTGGAAGAATCTCTTCGAGTTCTAGCCTTAACCCTCCGTCCCGCCGGCCGCCGCAGCCACGTCGTAGCCAGCAGAGGGCGCTGCCGGGCATGGCCGAAGAGCGTCGCGGGGCCTGGTTCGGCTTCGGTTTCTGCGGCTTCGGGCAGGCGCTGGGCTCGGGGCGCGGGCGCCAGGTACACAGCCCCGAGCCTCTGAGGGCGCCAGGCGCGGGCCTCGATGTCTGCCGCGTGAGCGCGAGCTGGAGCTACACCGCCTTCGTGACCCGTGAGCACCTCCTTCCGGCCCCATCCCGACCCCAGCCCCGGGTGCGTGTCCCGCCCCCTCCCCAGCCAGCTCTCCGCCCCCCGCAGGTGGAGGAGGCCGGGTGGAGCTGTCTGGCTTCGCGGTCGGAGCGGCGGGCGGCTGCAGGGACGCGTGGGCGTCGGAGGAGCTCCTGGTGGTGCTGCGCGCGGGGCCGGGACCCGGGGCCGGGACGGAGCTGCAGGCCTGGGCGCCCGGTTCGGCGCTGCGCGGGGAGCCCCTCTGGGCCCAGACCGTGCCGGAGGCCGAGCGGGAAGACGGACCGGTCGGCGATGAGACCCAGGCTGGGCCGCTGCCGCTGCTGCCCTGCGCTCGCGCCTACGTGAGCCCGCGGCCGCCCTTCTACCGGCCTCTGGCCCCGACACTGCGGGCGCGCCGACTGGAGCTGGGCGCTGAGCACGCGTTGCTGCTGGACGCGGCGGGCCAGGTGTTCTCCTGGGGCGGGGGCAGGTGAGGTGGGCCGGCTGGGCTTTTGCGGCGATGACGGGGTGGGGGGGGGGGGTGCGGGTACATGTGGCTCGGAGTGGGAGGTGAGCATACAGGGGGCAGGAGAGAGCGATTGGGGAGGGAAGGGGAGGGAAGGGGAAGGAGACCCCTTGGTGTAGTTGACTAGGGTCTCCCTTGCTCAGGCACGGACAGCTGGGCCACGGGACTCTGGAGGCAGAGCCGGAGCCGAGGCTGCTGCAGGCGCTGCAGGGCCTAACCATGACTGAGGTGGCCGCAGGTGGCTGGCACTCTCTGTGTGTGAGTGGTGAGTGACCTAGTGCTTTTCCAAAACCAGCTCAAGGTCTCGTAGGCTCCAAACCTTTCTCCTTCTCTCGCAAATTGATGGGTGCCCTAGCCGGGCCTCCTCCCAAGCTCCTCCCACATCAGCCAGCCCAGTCATTCATGACTCCCTAACGCCTCTCAGATTCAGCCCCTCTGCCGCCACCATCACCCACTCGCACCCGGACTGTCACAATTGTTACCTGTCTTCTGTTACTGGTCTCACTACCCCTCCCCTCCGTCTGCCTCCAGCCAGGGCTGTCTTTCTAAAATACTCCCCAAGGGAGAATGAAGGGGTGAGGGGCAACCGAGCTAAGGAGAAAAAAAAGGCAGCAGTTGCCCGGGTGGCCGTGATGTGTGGCACACAGTGGACACTTGGATGCCCACCGGGAGGATGATGATGGTGAGTGTGAGCTCTGGTGGTGCCATGGCTGGTGGCCCAGGACCAGAATGAGGAGTTTCACTTTAGATTGTGTTCACCACTCTGGCAGGTGATCCAGGTGTAGCTGATCTCTAGGCTGTTGGGTGCAGCTGGGAGCGAATGATCTTTGCAAGGATCTACATTTGGGGCTCTGGCCTCCACTTACATCATTCCGACCAGGTCCTGATACGCAGCAAGCTAGACGCTGAGATGCCAAGTTTATAGCCAAGAAACACTTTGTTCACAAGGCAGCCAAGCAAGGAAATGGGAGAATAATAAGTCTCAGATCTGCCTCCCTGAAGGGAGTTGGGGTATTTATGGGATAAGCAGGGTGGTCTTAGGCGTGGGGAAAGGTGATTGGAGGTAGGGAAGAAGGTGAGGTAATCAGTGTTCTGAGCAGGCATATCTGGGTCACATGCGTCTGCATATTCAAAATGGAGGCGCTTTGGAAATTCCCTGGCGGTCCAGTGGTTAGGACTCGGCACTTTCACTTCAGGGGCCCTGGTTCAGTCCCTGGTTGGGGAACTAAGATCCCACAAGCCGCGCAGTGTAGCCAAAACAAAAAAGTGGAGGCGCTTAACATGATCTGAGGGTGGAGTTTTCCAGCCCTCTGACATCAAAAGGCCATCCACTGGACGTCTGCACAGGCCCAGTTTTAGGGTCAGTGGCCCCAACTAGTCCCTAGCTGGCTTTCACTGGGCAGGAGCTGACTCCAAGTTCCTGTGAAACAACTGAGTTGCATGAAGCTGGGAAGGTATGCAATTAAAGAGAAAAAAAGAAAAATAATGAAAGTGAACTTAATCAATGAAGGCACTTAACAAGCAAAGGGGTTTTAACAGGCTGTTCCCTCATCTGTTGTTCCATAAGAGAAGTTCAAGAATTTCTATTAGTTATCAGCTTCTGTTAACTCTATGGGGCATGGTTTCACCAGGGGTCTTTAAAAACTACCTATGCCTATACTGTCCTGTCCATATTCACATGTAATGGGCCTGGGTTGGCAGCCAGGCTTGAGAATGAGTGGGCTGGAGGGAAGAGAAGAGAGGGCTGGAAGGTGAGCCCAATGGGAAGTCTCGCACTAAGGTCCAAAAGGCATTTGAGGCCTTGGTGTCGCATGGTTGGAGCACGGATGCTTCAGACCAGACCTCCCAGGTTCAAATCATCACCCTGCCCCTCGTGATCTTGGGCAGAGCACCTAACCTCTCTGTGCCTCAAGTTTTCTCTTGAATAAAATGGGGATATTGTGCTTGAAACAGTGGCACAGAATAAGCACTTGATAAAAATTAGCCACTGCTGTTAGTGAATTTTTAGCATAGGGCTGTTGCTCTAATCAACCAACTCCAGTGTTGTGAGAGCTTCCAGAGGCCTCCGGGGGAGGGGGAGGGTGCAATGGGTAAAGGGGGTTGGCTGGATGGTGACAGATGAAAACTAACCTCTTGGTGATAAGCACACTGTAGTGCATACAGAAGTCAAAATATAATGCTGTACACATGAAACTTATATAATGTTATAAACCAATACCACCTCAGTTAAAACAACAGTTTTTTAAAAGGCCTTCAGTAGGACCGGTGGCAGGTAGGGCTGACGAAAGGGGCCTGGGCTCAGTGGATGTGAAAAAAAAACCACTGGGGAACTTCCAGGGCCACATTTCCAAACTGCACGTAGGGGGAGTGGGGGGTGCAACTTAACAAAAAAGGAAAAAACGAAAGTGGAGAGGAAGAGCCAGCAAGAGACTTCCTTTAAGAATAGGGTGACCTGAAGGCACTTAAGGGGGAAGGGGCCCTGTTGAGACAAGGAAGCTGCTGGGCCCTGAGGAAAGCACTCTGCCTGGAGTGCTGACTTGGGCAGGGCAGGCAGGAGTTGTCTTTAGGGAACTAGTGGGGTGTACTGGAGTCTGGATGGATGCACATGCTTAGGAGGTGGAGGGGGCAAACACAGTCTGTTAATGGGGCCCCTTTATCTCTCTTTCAGAGGCTGGGGATATTTATATCTGGGGCTGGAATGAATCAGGGCAGCTGGCCCTGCCCACCAAGAGCCTGGCAGAGGATGGAAAGACAACCGCAGAAGGTGAAAGTCAATTCTTTTTTTTGATATATTTTATTGAAGTATAGTTGATTTATGTTGTGTTAATTTCTGCTGTATGGCAAAATGATTCAGTTATACATATATGTATACATATGCTTTTCCACTACGGTGTATCACAGCATATTGAATACAGCTCCCTGTGCTACACAGTAGGACCTTGTTGTTTATCCATTTATATATAATAGTTGACATCTGCTAATCCCAAACTCCCAATCCATCCCTCCCCCACCCCCCTCCTCCTTGGCAACCACAAGTCTGTTGGTGAGGGTCAATTCTTGATTTCCACACGTTTCTGTCATTCCTGACTCCTGGCCATATTGTTGGCCTGAGAGCTACAGTGCTCAAAAGGGTACGAGACATCCTTGGGACCCCAGGACACAATGAAGGACTCTGAGCCCCTTATGAGAGGGAGCACGGCAAGGCTGACGCCAGCGTCAGCACTACATGCCCCACAAACCTGGCAACTCCAGCACTTCCCAGGGAATGTGGGGTTGGGAGCGATGGCTCTGGAGCTAGAGCAAGTGTGTCAGCTGTTGTAGTGAGTGAGTCAGTATATGAATGAGGTTTAGATCAGCGCTCAGTGAGTGTTCAGCATCATTATCATCATCACTCTTATTACTTCTCTGAAGCCTCAGGACTGAATGAAGATGGTTCTGAAGTGAAGACAGTAGCCGGGGGTGAGGATGGAGCCCCGGCCCCCTTCATAGCTGTCCAGCCCTTCCCGGCTTTACTGGACCTCCCCCTGGGCTCAGATGCAGTCAAGGCCAGCTGTGGATCCCGGCACACAGCGGTGGTGACAAGTGAGTGGGGCTGGGTAGGCTGGTTCAGGATGGAGCGGGAGGTCCCTCCACCCCGCTCTCTAGCTGGTGGCTGCAGAAAAGGGTGTGGTCACCTAAAAAACTACCGTTTTAATTAAGCATCTTTGACATGTACTGAGTAGCTGCCCCACTCAGTACACTCCCACGGGGCTTTAACAGTGGCTCCCCAGCCTGTCAGGCCCTGAAGGTTCTTCCTTCTGGAGGGGGATTAGTGTTGCCAGCCTTTCATCTGACAGCAGGGCTGTCCTAAACTCAGCAGCTGTGAGTTGCAGGCCAATCAGTCCGCATATAGGGAGGTGAACTTTTTCAGTTTGGATCCTTTATCACCCCAAATGTGACTAGACAGTTGTTAAAAAGAGAGAGGATATGTTTTGCTACGCCAAGTAAGTCTCATGGTGACCAGAACATGCTGGCAGGCCGAGCTGGACAAATGCCTAGTCAAAGAGCAGTGGTGTCAGCCCCTTACTGTCCTTTTGCTGTCCTTTGGTTGCAGGAACGGGGGAGCTCTACACCTGGGGCTGGGGTAAGTAAAAGGTTTGCTTTTGTGATGCTTAAACCAAGGGGAGGAAAGACCTGGGAGTAGAGGGCAGGTGACAACAGCCATGCAGAGAAGTGGAAGCAGGGGACTCGGCCTGACCATTGGGACTGAAAAGCTGTCTACTCCCTTCTCTGGAACTGATCTAGGCACACTAAGAGGGGCAGAGACCAGACAAGAGAGAAATAGGACAACATGTCAGTATTTCCCATCTACATTTCTGAAAAGGTATTTGTCTTAAGGGAATATTTAGTCAGCAGTCATGAAACATCTTTTCGTCTGGCACTGGGTAGAGAAAAAGATAAAATAAAAATCTCTGCTCTGAACATCTGAGCTTAGGAGTGGGAAGCCTGGAGGAGCATCTTGCCTCTTGGGGACCTGTGGAATTGCCTGGTCCTGGAGGCTCTGTGGTGCTGGTCTCCTGAATTCACAGAGCAGACACCAGCAGACTGGTGGCTTAAGCCCAGCACTTCAGTCAATGGGCTGTTTTTCCTTCCTGGAGGGGAAAAGCCACAAGGCCCAGTGGAGAGGATGGCAAAGCAGCTCATTTCACTTTAGGTAAATATGGACAGCTTGGCCACAAAGACACGACCAGCTTGGATCGGCCCTGCCGTGTGAAGTACTTTGTAGATAAGCAACTCCAAGTAAGGACCGTGAGCTGTGGGCCCTGGAACACCTATGTGTATGCTGTGGAAAAAGAGAAGAGCTGACATGTATTGATAAGGGCATAAAATAAGTGTAGAGTGAAAAATTATGAAGCTAACACCTGTGAAACTCCCCCCAGGTCAAGGAAAACCATTGCCAGCACCCCAGAGGCCCCACATTTGGCCTTCCCTATCACAGCCCTCTTGCTCCACCTTAGAGCAGGCAGCATCCTCAACTTTGTCTTCACATTAGAAACACCTGGAGGGAACTCCCTGGCGGTCCAGTGGTTAGGACTCTGCGCTTTCACTGCCTAGGGCACGGGTTCAATCCCCGGTCTGGGAACTAAGATCACACAAGCCGTGTGGCACAGTGTGGCCCAAAAAAAAAGAAAAGAAACACCTGGAGATTTGAAACTGGATGCCTAAAGCCAGCATCGCAGACACAATGAAATCAGAACTTAGGGGTGTGGAACCTAGATGTGGGTAGATTTTTTAGGCTGCCCCACCCCCGGTGATTTGGAGGTAGTGCTAAGATTGGGAACCACTAGAGGTCATCTTCTTTTGTTGTTCATATACCTGTTTTCATTTTGACTCATACCATTCCTTGTATACATCTTTATACAATATAATTTGTCTGCTTTTGAACTTTAGGTAAATAGAATCATTCTGTGTATGTTCTTTTGTGTCTTGTTTTTTCATCAGCATTGTATGATTCATCTGTGGTGTTGTGCAGTTGATTCATTTTTTATTGTTATATGGTATTCTATTGTATGAATTATACCTCAAGTTATATATTCTCTTACTGATAGTAATTTGTTTCTTTTTTCTTATTGAGTTAAAATACACATAACAAAAAATTTACTATCTTAATCATTTTTAAGTGGCATTAAATATGTTCACATTGTTGTGTAGCCATCACCACCATCCATTCCCATCTCTTTTCATCTTGTAAATCTGAAACTCTACAGCTATTAAACAATAACTCCCTGTTCTCCCCAGCCCCTGGCAACCATCATTATACCTTGTGTCTGTCCTGTGCTCTTGACTACTCTACATACCTAATATAAGTGGAATCATACAGTATTTATCTTTTAATAAGATAAATATTGGCTTATTTCACTTAGCATAATGTTCTCAAGGTTCATCTATGTTATAGCATATTGCAGAATTTCCTTCCTTTTTAGGTCTGAATAATATTCCATTGTATGTATATACCACATTTTGTTTATCCATTCATTGGTTGATGGACACTTGGGTTGCTTTCATGTTTTAGCTATTGTGAATACTGCTCCTATGAACATGGGTTTACAAACATCTCTTTGAGACTCTGCTTTTAATTTTTTTGGATATATACCCTAAAGTGGAATTGCTGGGTCATATGGTAATTCTATTTTTATTTTTGGGGGAGCCTACATACTGTTTTCCACAGTGGCTTTCCCATTTTACAATCCCACCAATAGTGCACAAGTGTTCCAACTTCTCCACATCCTCACCGAACACTGTTTTCTGTTTTTTTGACAGTTACCATCCTGATAGGTGTGAGGTATCTCATTGTAATTTTGATTTGCGTTTCCCTAATAATTAGTGATGTTAAGCATCTTTTCATGTGCTTATTGGCCATTCACATATCTTTTTTGGAGAAATGTCTATTCAAGTCCTTTGCCCATTTTTGAATCTGATTTTGTGTGTGTGTGTGTGTGTTGTTTTAGGAGTTCTCTATATATTCTAGATACTAATCCCTTATCAAATAAGTGATTTGGAAATATTTTCTCCCATTCTATTGGTTGCCTTTTTACTTTGTTGATACTGTCTCAATGTAAAAAGTTTAATTTTCATGAAGTCCAATTTGTCTTTTTCTTTTGTTGCCTATGCCTTTGTTGTCATATCTGAGAAATCATCACCAAATCCAGTGTCATGAAGCTTTTGTCCTATGTTCTTCCAAGAATTTTATTGTTTTAGGTTTTATATTTTGGTCCTTGATCCATTTTGAGTTACTTTTGTATATAGTGTTAGGTAAGAGTCCAACTTCATTCTTTTGCATGTGGTTATCCAGTTTTCCCAGTACCATTTGTTGAAAAGGCTGTCCTTTCCTCATTGAATGGCCTTGGCACCCTTCTCAAAAATCATTTGATTGTATATTCGAGGGTTTATTTCTGGGCTCTCTATTCTATTTCATTGATCTATACGTCTGTCTCTTTTTATGTCAATACTGTTGTGATTACTATAGCTTTGTATTAGGTTTTGAAACCAAGAAGTGTGATTCCTCCAGTTTTAGTCTTTTTCAAAATTGTTTTGTCTGTTGGGGTCCCTTGAGATCCCATATGAGTTTTAGTGTTTTTCTATTTCTGTATAAAGGTCCTTGATATTTTAAGAATTGCACTGAATCTACAGATTGCTTTGGGTACTACTAACATTTTAACAATTTTTTTTTAATTTATTTTTTTTGGCCATGTCGGGTCTCAGTTGAGGCACATGGGGTCTTCATTGAGGCGTGCGAGATCCTCCATTGTGGCGCAGGCTCCTCATTGTGGCGCTCGGGCTTCTCTCTAGTTGCAGTGTGCGGGTTTTCTCTCTCTAGTTCTGGCATGCAGGCTCCAGAGCGCGTGGGCTCTGTAGCTTGCGGCACGTGGGCTGTCTTGTTGAGGCGCGTGAGCTCCGTGGTTGCGGTACACGGGTTTAGTTTCCCCGCGGCATGTGAGATCTTTGTTCCCCAACCAGGGATCGAACCTCTGTCCCCTGCATTGAAAGGCAGGTTCTTTACCACTGGACCACCAGGGAAATCCACTTTTAACAACATTAAGTCTTCCAGTCCATGATCGTGGGATGTGTTTCCATTTATTTATGTCTATAATTTCTTTCAGGAGTGTTTTGTAGTTTTCATTGTACATGTCTTTCACCTCCTTGGTTAATTCCTAAGTATTTTATTCTTTTTGATGCTACTATATATGGAATTTTTAAAAATTAATTAATTTATTTTTGGCTGTGTTGGGTCCTTGCTGCTGCACGCGGGCTCCCACTAGTTTCGATGAGCCAGGGCTACTCTTCGTTGTAGTGCGCAGGCTTCTCATTGCAGTGGCTTCTCTTGTTGCGGAGCCCTAGGCACGCAGGCTTCAATAGTTGTAGCTCGCAGGCTCTAGAGCGCAGGCTCAGTAGTTGTGGCGCACGGGCTTAGTTGCTCCGCGGCATGTGGGATCTTCCCAGCCCAGGGCTCGAACCCAGGTCCCCTGCACTGGCAGGTGGATTCTTAACCACTGTGCCACCAGGGAAGCCCTGGAATCATTTTTGTAATTTCCTTTTTGGATTGTTCATTGTGTATAGAAATACAACTGATTTTTCTGTGTTGACTTTGTATCTTGCTACTTTGCTGAAGTCATTTATTAGTTCTAACAGCTTTTTTGTAGTCTTTAGGATTTTCTACATATAAGATCATTCATCTGCAGAGATACTTTTACTTCTTCCTTTCTAATTTGGATGCTTTTTATTTCTTTTATAACCTAATGGCTCTGACTAGAACTTCCATTACTATGTTGAATAAAAGTGGTGAAAGTGGGCATCCTTGCCTTGTTCCTGATCTTAGAGGAAAAGCCATTGAGTATTATGTTTGCTGTGGAATTTTCATATACGGATTTTATTGTGTGGAAGTAGTTCCCCTCTTTTCCTATTTTATTGAGTGTTTTTAATCACGAAAGGGTGCAGAATCTTGCTTTTTTTACATCAGTTGAGATGATCATATGTTTTTTTCCTTCATTTTGTTGATGTAGCATGTTACATTGATCATCCTTGTATTCCAGGAATAAATCTCACTTGGTCATGATGTATAATCCTTTTCAAGTGTTGCTGAATTCTGTTTGCTAGTATTTTGCTGAAGATATTTTTCATCTGTGTTCAAAAGGGATATTGGTCTATCGTTTTCCTGTAGTGTCTTCTGGCTTTGGTATCAAAGTTATGCTGGCCTCACAGAATGAGTTAGGAAGTGTTTCTTCCTCTGAAATATCTTGGAAAAATTTGAGAAGGATTGTTGTTAGTTCTTTAAATATTTGGTAGAATTCACAGTGAAGCCATTAGGTCCAAGGATTTTCTTTCTTGGGAAATTTTTAAAAAAAATTATTTGTTTCTTTTTGGCTGTGTTGGGTCTTCATTGCTGCATGCGGGCTTTGTCTAGTTGCGGTGAGCAGGGGCTACTCTTTGTTGCGGTGCACGGGCTTCTCATTGTGGTAGTTTCATCTTGTTGCGGATCACGGGCTCTAGGCACGTGGGCTCGGTAGTTGTGGCTTGCGGGCTCTACAATGCCCGCTCAGCAGTTGTGGCGCATGGGCTTAGTTGCTCCGCGGCCTGTGGGATCTTCCCGGACCAGGGCTCAAACCCATGTCCCCTGCATTGGCAGGCGGATTCTTAACCACTGTGCCACCAGGGAAGCCCTTTCCTGGGAAATTGTTGAGTAGTGATTCAATCTCCTTACTAGTTATAGGTCTATGCAGATTGTTTATTTCTTTGTGATTTAGTCTTGATAGGTTTTGTGTTTCTAGGAACATGTCCATTTCACCCAGGTCATCTGATTTGTTGGTGTACAATTAATTGCTCATAGTACTCTTTTAAAAAAAAATTTTATTTATTTGGCTGCACCAGGTCTTAGTTGCAGCATGCGGGATCTAGTTTGCTGACCAGGGATTGAACCCAGACCCCCTGCCCTGGGAGCAAGGAGTCCTAACTGCTGTACTACCAGGGAAGTCCCCATAGTACTCTTTTAAAACCCTTTTTTCTTTCTGTAGAATTAGTAGCAATGTCCCTGCTTTCATTTTTGTTAATATACAAATTTGTTTATTTTTATTTTTGGCTGCGTTGGGTCTTCTGTTGCCACACAGGGGCTTTCTCTATTTGAGGCAAGGGGGCTACTCTTTGTTGTGGTGGTGGGCTTCTCATTGCAGTGGCTTCTTTTGTTGGGGAGTAAAGGCTCTAGGTGTGCAGGCTTAGTTGCTCCATGGCATGTAGGATCTTCCTGGACTAGGGATCGAACCTGGGTCCCCTGCACTGGCAGACGGATTCTTAACCACTGCGGCACCAGGGAAGTCCCCTTGCTTTCATTTCTGATTTTAATGACTTGTGTCTTTTTTCCTTAGTCCATCTAGCTAAAATTTCATCCATTTCATTGATCTTTTTAAAGAACCAACTTTTGGTTTCACTGATTTTCTCTATTGTTTTTCTATACTGAATTTTTTATCTTTGCTGTAATCTTTATTTCCTTCCTTCTGCTAGCTTTTGGTTTAGTTTGTTCTTTTTCTAGTTTTTAAGTTGAAAGTTAGATGGCTGACAAGATCTTTCTTGTTTTTTTAACGTGAACATTTACAGCTATAATTTTCCCTTAGCACTGCTTTTGCTGCATCCCATAAGTTTTGGTATGCTTTGTTTTTTTCATTCATTCTAAGTATTTTCTAATTTCCCCTGTGATTTCCTCTTTGATCCACTGGTTATTTTTAATTAATATTAAATATTAATATTTATATAAAATATAAATATTAATATAAAATAAATATTAAGCCCTGGCGAGCAGGGGCTACTCTTCATTGTGGTGTGTCCGCTGCAGTGGCTTCTCTTTGTTGCAGAGCACAGGCTCTAGGCGCGTGGGCTTCAGTAGTTGTGGCACATGGGCTCAGTAGTTGTGTATGGGCTGTAGAGCTCAGGCTCAGTAGTTGTGGCGCACGGGCTTAGCTGCTCTGCAGCATGTGGGATCTTCCCGGACCAGGGCTTGAACCCATGTCCCCTGCATTGGCAGGTGGATTCTTCACCACTGCATCATCAGGGAAG